CCCCAAAACCCCAAAACCCCAAAACCCCAATTTCACTGTAAAATATTGAAAATGTGGTTAAAATGTTGAATTTTAACTAAAGAATTTGAATTTAGGATCTTGGAGATTAGCATATCTTTGTGAGTGGAAGAAGTTTTGAGGTTGATGGGATTTACATACCTCAATTAAAAATAATATTTAAATAGTTTTTATCAAATGTTTAGAACAAAAATATTAATTTACAAAAATTTTCTCATCAAAATGAATCAACTAAAATCCTATGGAACTATTCCTCGTCAACCCTGCGTTGCACTAATTTTACGCTAGGACTTAATTTTATTGGACAAAGTTATTCTGCTCGCATAGCTCCTTGACTTTCTGGTCAAACTGGGCCACTTCTTCAGCCTCAATTTTTCTGTATCCTTCTTCATCGTTCAGTCTCTTGGCCTTTGTCAATCTTGAGATGGACTCCAGTTTTAGTCCGTAAAGAGACTTTAGCAGATGATTTGCCTTCTCAGTTGACTCACAGAATGTCTTAGACATTTCTTCAGGCTCTATATAAACAAAGTTTAGTGGGAGTTATAGGTTCAGATGCTGGTGATTTCAGCAGCAAATTTATAAGTTAGAATTTCCCAAGCCATTATTTTCTTTTTACTGTTTTTGTTAATTGACATATGAAATACATCATCCAACTTCTTGAGGGTAAGAAAGGCGATCTATGATAAGTCATGAGAAGGTACTATACCTCAATGATATCAACAGAGAACAGGATCTTTCTGAACAGGCACATAGCAATGCCATAGTTGAATCAACTCTGATTGACTCCATCTTTAACTCTGTGTGTACATTTAATCTTGCCAGTTTCTGTAGTTCAAGTTTAGAACAAAATTTACCTTCATTGAACAATGATTCAAGGTGCTTATTCACGATGGTTGGGTAGTATAGTGACAGTGATGGAATATTAGGAAAATGAGTACTGATACATATCAAAGTAGAAGGTCTTGAAAGCAATTTGAACAAATCAGTGGTCGTCAAAGTTATATCATAGTTTTGAAGATTTCCAACCTCATCCAGCAGAATTAAGGAGTTTGACACAGCTGTAAAAATTTGAGAAAAAATTTACCGTAATCTACTATGTATTTCATCTGTTTCCGTTCTGAATCTGATGATGATTCAGATTTGAGCATTGAATCTCTAGCACTCATTCTTAGATATAAATTATCAAATGGCCTTAAGATCATTGAAACTGCTGGAACATTTCATCCAATCTGGGCAAGAATAGTGTTGACTGCCATCATCTTGAGGTAAAAGGTTTTGCCACTTCCGTTGATTCCTGTTAATATCATAGTAGACTCGTATTTTGTAAGGCTCACATCATTCTATTCATCAATTTTAGAGCTTACTGCAACTGAGATATTCTCTTCATGAAAGAATGCATTTCTCCCTTTCTCAATGTACAACTATAAAGTTAAGTAAATAATACAAGAGGTTGATCTTCCTGGTGCTCATCAAGTATGACCGGCTGAGTAGTCATCCCTTGCTCGATAGAAAACAGTGCAAATGCTAGTAACATATCAACGGTTGCTACTGTATTAGCCACGTTAAAAAGACTGGATATATTCTGCTTGATCACTACCAATATTTCTATTACAATTTCTTGTGTGAGATACAAGATTTCATTCTCATATTCCTTCAGCTTAAGATTATACTTCAAAAGCTCCTACATTATGATTCATCGGACTTACTTTTGTTCTGAACCTTATGGCGTGCTTGAGCCTGCCAAGTACAACAATGCTATGCTCTTTGGCCTTCTTCTGACTGATTTTATCTTCATAATCCTCCTTCTTACATGTAAAATGGTATCCAAGAGTCTTGTTATAGCCTAGCTTGATGTTCTTGAGAAGAGTTCTCTGTAACCTGATCGTTAGCCTCTGGATCTTATTCATAGTATCACTGTAAGACTCTTTTCAAAGATCGATAAAATCATTGACACCTTTCTTAATACACCCAATCTGTTGAATGTTGTTCTTAGGTAAGATCTGGGGCTCATTGCTCTTGTCAAATCTGCTAGAATGGTAACACTCTCTTACTTCTTCCCTTTCTGGTTGAACTTGCTCAAAGAATTGGTCTTTACAACAAGGTACTTCTGTATAACAAGAATAATGGTATCTATCTTCCTATCATCAATCGAGACCCCCATTTCTTGTAGCATTTCTGATTCGCCTTTCTTGATGATTTCAGTGAATTTCTGGATTTGGCTCAAAAATGAGTAGAATTTGATAATATTGCTCAGCTTCTGGGTCATCTACAAAGCTTACCATTGTTCTGATATCATACTCACTCATAAGCACAGCTGTATCTGAGTCGTTTGGTTTATTTCCTTGAGGGTTTACTAATATACAATCTTACTGTGGAACGAGTGCTTGCAGCTGAAAATTCTTCCAATGTAAATGTCAAATTTATTTGAACTGTGAGAGGATTGATTTAACCTCAGAACGATAGATTGCCTTTGTCTTTAGAGCTCACTCACAACCTCTTGTCTCTTTTGGATACTCTTCACTGATTTTAGGGGATTTAGGATGTTGTTGATAGTGATCTTACTTCCAGCCTCTGTCTCACAATGAAAAAGAGATGCTAAGGTATACTTGTTATTGAGATACTTGAGGTTATAAGTTAGTTCAAGATTTTGATAAGTCATAAAATCCAAGTTCATTCTCTCGTTCTCACTGATAAGTTTCACATTCAAGCATTTTGAGTCAAGTACAATTGACTGAGACTCTCAGTAGTTAAACAGACCTGACAAGGAGGCCATTGCGATGTACTTATTTATCAAAATCTATGAAGGGACGATCAGCTGTAGAGTCCTCAAAGATTCTGATTCCATTCTCTTCGTTAAATAACTTTCTTTCTAGAAGTTAGAGAGGTAAGTTACGGATAAATTTAAGGACATTTTCATAGCTCTCAATCTCATCCTTGATCTTGAGGCATAATCCTGACTCTTGTAATGTGTGAGGTATGATTATTTCAGTCGGGTTGTAATTATGCAGTACGGTCACTAAAATCAGCTGAAAGCACTTACAAGTATGAATGTATGTCTGGGAATCTGAGATCTGAGTCAATTCGATTGAGAAATCTCTAAGACTTATGCAAGCAAAGCCTATCTCTCTTGCTCTATTTTCAGTCAAAGCTATGATTCATCCATAATCTGAGTCATCTTTGAGATCTTCGAGCCTCACTTTACTAAGAAGCGACTTTTTGTCTTCTATTTTTAAGCTAAAGAGACTATACCGTCAAGATCAATTGGTTTTAATATAGACCTGAAGTTAGATTTCTGATTTGAGAAGGTTCCTGTACTTATAATAGAGCTTTCCTGCTCCTCTGGTTCATCCTTAGTTTCTTCCTTCAGCAACTGTAACACTCCAAGTCCTCCCTTATGACTGTCATCCATGAGGTCTGAAGCACTAGGTCTGAACCTTCTTCGGTTGATTGAGTCTATAATATCCTCTAAATCTTACTAAAAAAACCATTTTGGCCAAATTTATTCATTAAATAATTCAAAATTACCAGATTTCGTAGGGGTTTTGGGGTTTTGGGGTTTTGGGGTTTTGGGG